GTATTTCCTGGATTTGAATGTTGGCCTGCCTTGTTAGGTTGGGAATGTTCTCTTGGATAATATCCTGAAGAGTGTTTTCCAACTTGGATTCATTCTCCCCGTCACATTCAGTTAGGCTGATCAAGTATAGATTAGGTCTTTTCAACAATTCCATAGTTCTTGGAGGCTTTGGTCATTTTTTTTTTTCACTTTTTTCTCTCATCTTGCCTTCTCATTTTATTTCATTGATTTGATCTTCTATCTCTGATATCCTTTATTCTGCTTGATCAATTTGGCTGTTGAAACTTGTGTATGCCTCATGAAGTTCTTGTACTGTGTTTTTCAGCTCCATCAAGGCATTTACGTTCTTCTCTAAGCTGGTTATTCTAGTTAGCATTTCAAGTTTTTTTCAAGGTTCTTAGTCTCTTTGCATTGGGTTAGAAAATGGTCTTTTAACTCAGAGAAGTTTGTTATTACCCATCTTCTGAAGCCTACTTCTGTCAATTCATCAGATTCATTCTCTTTTTTGTTCCCTTGATGGTGAGGAGTTGTGATCCCTGGGAGAAGAAGAGGTGTTCTGTTCTTTGACAGTTTCATCCTTTTTGTGCTGGTTTTTCCCATCTTCATGGATTTCTCTCCCTTTGATCTTTAAAGTTGGTGATTTCAGGAGGAATCTCTAAGTGAACTTTTTTCTATTGAGGTTGGAGCTGTATCTTTTTTGGCCTGTAGAGGGCGTTGCTGGGCTCTCTCAGGTTCAGTCAGGTTGTTGGGTGGGTGGTCCTACCCTGGAGTTTGTTTGCAGGAGAGATTAGCCCCGCCTTCCCAATGGCTCCTCTCCCAGAGCTCGATCTTCCTGGTTGGGGTCAAACTGGTGGATTTGCTGCCAAGCTCTCTAGTGAGGGCATCAGTTTTAGTTCTGTGGAGGTGGGGCCTGCCAGGCCTTATGGTCTGTTTCCCTGCTTTTAACTCTGCCTCCCTCTGCAGGACGGTCTGTCTCACTGGCCTTAGTCCAAACTGCCACCCAGGTCTGTGAGAAAACTTGCCACGCCTGGCGGGAACCGCTGTTCATATTTGCATCGACAATCTACAGCGCCCCATGGTCTGGCAGGGCTCTCATGGACTGTAGATTGTAGGAGGGATGAGGTAAGCACAGGATCCAAATCGGAGCACCAAGGGGGTGAAGTCCCCCGACCCTCCGAGCCAGCTGAACTTAGGTGGGGACACGCCCCCCATCTTGATTTGCCCCCCCTCGATGGCTCTCACCCTACAGATTCTTCCCTGGGCTATTTTCAGTGCCCTATCAGTCCCACAGAAACAAACCTGGCACTTTGTTTGGAATCGTGGAGTCCTCTAGCCCTCTGAGTCTCATTCGCTGGGAGCTGCATTCTGGTGTTGCCTCCTCACAGCCATCTTGGCGCCCTCCCCAACTTTCAGTCATTCTTGGGTAACCTGGCATTTGGTAGCCTGGGATACTAAATATCCTGCAGTGTCCAAGAACTGTCCCACCTAAAATGCATGTAGGAGCCTCAATGAAAAAGTTAAATGTTCATTAACTTCCTCATTCTCTTAACAATTTTCTCATACTTCTCTTGTCTCTTCATACATCTACATTCCTACCTCCTCACATTCAGCATGTCACCTTGCTTCCTACTTCATGCAAATTGCCAACCTTGATGCATCTTTAACCATATATTCTTCCTTCCTGTTATAAATGAACTGTCACCATTCCTGTCTAATGCAAACTCTAATAGATCCCATCTCCTTTTGCCTCCTTAGGATATCACTCAATAATCACCCTCTCTTCTCTTTCTCTTGTCCTGTATCATCAATTTTCCCCATTCTACTGGATCATTTCTATCAGCATTCCCAGATGTTGTAATAGCAACCATCTTTAAAAACAAAAAGGGAAAAAAAATTTTAAAACTTCCTTGACCTCTTGCTTTGCTACAGCTACTAGCCCAATTCTCTGCTCTCATTTTCGAGTATAATTCAGTTTACACTTTTGGTTTCCATTTCCTCTCCTTCCATTCTTTTTTTTCTTTCTTTCTTTCTTTTTTTTAAGACGGGGGTTTCACCATGTTGGTCAGGCTGATCTTGAACTCCCAACCTCAGGTGATCCGCCCGCCTTGGCCTGCAAAGTGCTTGGATTACAGGCATGAGCCACCATGCCCGGCCTTCCTTCCATTCTGTCTCTTAAATCCACCCAATCAGCCTCTCATCCCAATGCTCCATTAAAACAGCTCTTGTCAAGGTCCCATAGGATTTCCATGATATTTAATGCTATGAACAATTCTCAATCCTTATCTTAGTTGATTTCTCAGCAACAGGTGACAGAGTTGACTGTTCCCTACACTTCACTTCCATTGACTTCCATACAAGACACCACTCTCTTAGTTCTCCTCTCCTCCTACTTTATAAATTACTCCACTGTAGGCTGCAGTGAGCCGAGATCACGTCATTGCACTATAGCCTATGCAACAGTTTGAGACTCTGCCTCAACAACTAATAAAAATAAAATAAACTATTCCATTGTATCATTTTCTTCTTTATCTCCACAACCTCTATATGCTTAAGTGCCTCAAGACTCAGCCTTCAGACTTCATTTCTTCTGTATCTTACCTTCAACATTCCCTTAGAAATGTCATCTAGGTTTGAGACTTTAAATACCATCTATATACTGAGGACTCCCAAATTCAAATAGACCTGAGTTCCAAATTCACATTCAAATAAATAATCAACACATACACTTGGATGTTTAATAAGCATCTTAAACTTAATGTGTCAAAAAAAAAACCCCACAACTTTGCTCCTCCTAGCCTTCATTCCCTCAAGAGAAAGCAACTACTTCATCCCTTCATTGTTCATGCCAAAAAGTCATGACTGACTCCTTTCTTTCTCTTACACTTCACATCTGATCCAGCATCAAATCCTGTTTTTGCAAACATATTACCAAAAAACTATTCAAACTGATAAACAAATTCAGTAAAGTTGCAGGATACAAAATCAACATACAAAAATCAGTAGCATTTCCATATGCCAACAGCAAATACTCTGCAAGAAATCAAGAAAATAATCCCATTTATAATGGCTATGAATAAAACTAAATACCTAGAAATAAACTTAACCAAAGAAGTGAAAGATCTCTACAATGAAAACTTGATACAAGAAATTGAAGAGGATACAAAAAAAATGAAGATATTCTATGTTCATGGACTGGAAACATCAATACTGTTAAAATGTTCATGCCACCCAAAGCAATCTATAGGTTCAATGCGATCTCTATTAAAATACTAATGACATTCTTCACAGAAACAGAAAAAATAAAATTCTAAAATTTATACAGTAACACAAAAGACCCAGACCAGCAAAAGCTATCCTGAGCAAAAAGAACAGAACTGGAGGAATCACATTATCTGACTTCAAATTATACTACAGAGCTGCTGTAACCAAAACAGGATGGTGCTCGCATAAAAACAAACACATGCTAGCTTAAAAACAGACACAAAGACCAATGGAACAGAAGAGAGAACCCAAAAGTAAATCCATAAATCTATAGTGAATTCATTTGTGACAAAGGTGCAAAGAACATACACTATGGAAAAGAACAGTGTTTTCAATAAATGGCACTGAGAAAATTGGATATCCATATGCAGAAGAATGAAATTAGACTCCTATCTCTCATCATATACAAAAATCAAATCAAAGTGGATCAAAGTATTAAATCTAAAGCCTGGCACTATGAAACTACTAAAAGAAAACATTGGGGAAACTATCCAGGACATTGGACTGGGCAACACTGTATTGAGTAATACCGCACAGCAAAGGCAACCAAGGCAAAAATGGACAAATGAGATCACATCAAGTTAAAAGCTTCTGCACAGCAAAGGAAACAATCAACAAAGTAAAGAGACAACCCAAAGAATGGAAGAAATCTGCAAACTATCCATCTCACCAGGGATTAATAACCAAAATACATAGGGAGCGCAAATAACTCAATAGGAAAAAATCTAGTAACCCAATTAAAAAATGGACAAAAAAATCTAAATAGGTATTTCTCAAAAGAAGGCATGCTAATGGGAAACAGGTGTATGAAACGGTACTCAACACGACTGATCGGAGAAGTGCAAACCAAAACTATAAGGAGATATAATCTTATCTAAGATAAAATGGCTTTTATCCAAAAGACAGGCAATAACAAATGCTGGCAAGGACATAGAAAAGGAAACCCTTGTATTCTGTTGGTAGGAATGTTAATTAGTACAACCACTATGGAGAACAGTTTGAAGGTTCCTCAAAAAACTAAAAATGGAACTACCATATGGTTCAGCAATCTCACTGCTAGGTATATACCCAAAAGAAATAAGTACATTGAAAAGGTAACTATATTCCCATGTCTACTGCAGCATTATTAACACTAGCCAAGATTTGGAAGCCACCTAAATGTCCATGAAGAGACAAATGGATAAACTAAATGTGGTACATATACATAACGGAATAATATTCTGCCATAAAAAAGAATGAGAGCCTGTTATTTGCAACAGCATGGATGGACATCAACAGAAGCCACTACATCAAAACAAGTAAGTCAGGCAAAGGAAAATAAACTTCAAATGTTCTTATTCATTTGTGGAAGCTAAAAATTAAAACAATTAAACTCAAGAAAATAGAGAGCAGAATGACAGTTATAGGAGACCAAGAGGGTGGGGAAGAAGTGGAGACGATTAATGCATAAAAAAAACATAGTTAAATAGAATGAAAACAATCTAGTATTTGATAACACAACATGGTCATTACAGTTTTTTTTTATTTCAATACTTTTTGGGGTACAAGTGGCTTCTGTTACATGGATAAATTATATAATAGTTAATTCTGAAACTTTAGTGCCATCACCCAAGTGGTATTCACTGTACCTAAAGTGTAGTTTTGTTTGTTTGTTTTTAAATTCCTGGCTCCCCTCCTACCCTCCCCCTTCTAAGTCTTTAAAGTCCATTATACCACTCTGTATGTCTTTGGGTACTCACAGTTCAGCTTTCACTTATGGTTTTTGACTTTCCACTCCCGTGATACTTCGCTTAGAATAATGACCTCCAGCTCCATACAAGTTGCTGCAAAACACATTATTTCCTTTCTTTGAATGGCTGAATAGTATTCTATGGTATATACACACCACATTTTATTTATCCACTCATTAGTCGATGGGCACCTAGGTTGGTTCTACATCTTTGCAATTGTAAATTGTGCTGCTATAAACATATGCATGCAAGTGTCTTTTTCATATAATGACTTCTTTTCCTTTGGGTAGATACCCAATAATGGGATGGCTGGATCAAACGGTAGATCTACTTTTAGCTATTTGCAGAATCTCCATACTGTTTTCCAGAGGTTGTATTAATTTACCTTCCCATCAGCAGTGTATAAGCTTCTCTTTTCCCCACAACCACAACATCATCTACTGTTTTGTTTTTTTTTCTTTTTTTTTTTTTTGAGATGAAGTCAGTCTTGCTCTGTGGCCCAGGCTGGAATGCAGTAGCACAATCTCAGCTCACTGCAACCTCCACCTCCCAGTTCAAGTGATTCTCCAGCCTAAGCTTCCTGAGTAGCTGGGATAACAGGCACCTGCCACCATGTCCAGCTAATTTTTCTGTTTTTTAGTAGAGACAGGGTTTCACCATGTTGGCCAGGCTTGTCTTGAACTCCTGACCTCAAGTGATTTGCTTGCCTCGGCCTCCGAAAGTGCTGGGATTACAGATGTGAGCCACCGTGCCCCCACCATTTGGTTTTTTAATAATGACCATTCTAGCGGGAGTAAAGTGGTATCTCATTGTGGTTTTAATTTGATGATTAGCGATGCTGGGCATTTTTTTCGTATGTATGCTGACCATTTGTATATTCTCTTTTCAGAAATGTCTATTCATGTCTTTTGCCTATTTTTATTTTTCTCAGACAGAGTCTCACTCTGGCACCCAGGATGAAGTGCAATGGTGCGATCTCAGCCCACTACAATCTCCACTTTCTGGGTTCAAGCAAATCTCTCACCTCAGCCTCCCGAGTAACTGAGATTACAGGCACCCACCATCATGCCCAGCTAATTTTTTTTTTTTTTTTTTTTTTTTGTATTTTTGTAGAGACAGGGTTTCACCATGTTGGCCAGGCTGGTCTTGAACTCCTGACCTCAGGTGATTCACCTGCCTTGGCCTCCCAAAGTACTGGGATTACAGGCATGAGCCTCAGCACCACAGCCTTTTGCCTACTTTTAATGGGAGGTGGTTTTTTTTTCTTGATTTGAGTTTCTTATAGATTCTGGATACTAGCCCTTTGTTCAATGTGTAGTTTGCAAGTATTTTTTCCTATTCTGTGGGTTGTCTGTTTACTCTGTTATTTCTTGTGCAGAAGCTTTTTAATTTAATTAGGTCCCATTTATTTATTTTCATTTTTGTTGCATTTGCTTTTGGGGTCTTAGCCATAAAGTCTTTGCTGAGGCCAATGTCTAAAAGACTTTTTCCAACATTATCTTCTAGAATTTTTATGGCTTAGATCTTATATTTAAGTCCTTGATCCATCATGATTTTTGTATATAGTGAGAGATACAGTTTCATTCATCTATTATATGTGGCTTGCCAGTTTTCCCAGGATCATTTATTAAAGTGTCCATTCCCCAATTTATGTTGATGTATGCTTCATCAAAGATCAGTTAGCTGTACCTATCTGGCTTTTATTTCTGGGTTCTCTATTCTGTTCCATTTGTCTATGTGCCCAGTTTTATACTTGTACCATATACTGTTTTGGTAACTGTATCCTTGTAGTACAGTTTGAAATCTGGTAATGTGATGCCTCCAGATTTGTTCTTTTTGCTTAGAATGGCTTTGACTATGCAGGCTCTTTTTTTGGTTCCATATGAATTTTAGGACTGTTTTTTCTAATTCTATGAAAAATGATGTTGGTATTTTGATAGGAATTGCAATGAATCTGTAGATTCCTTTGGGAAGTACAGTCATTTTCAGAATATTGATTCTTTCAATCCATGAGCATGGGATGTGTTTCCATTTGTTTCTATCATTTACAATTTCTTTCAACAGTGCTATAGTTCTCCTTGTAGAGATCTTTCACCTCCTTGGTTAGGTATATTCCTAGATATTTTATTTGCAGATGCTGTAAAAGTGACTGAATTACTGATTTGATTCTCAGCTTGACTGATGTTGGTATATAGCAGTGCTACTGATTTGTGTACACTGATTCTGTAACCTAAGACTTTACTGAATTTATCAAATCTAAGAGTCTATGATTTTCTAGGCATACAATCATATCATCTGCAACTGCAATAATATGACTCTCTCTTTTCCAATCTGGATACCCTTTCTCTTGCCTAATTGCTTTGGCTAGTACTTCCAGAACTGTGTTGAATAGGAGTGGTAAAAGTGAGGCATCCTTGTCTTGTTCCTGTTCTCAGGGCAATGCTTTCAAATTTTCCCCATTCTATATGATGTTGGCTGTGGGTATGTTGTCTAGATGGCTTTTATTATTTTGAGGTAGGTCTCTTCTACTCTCAACAGTTGGTTGACAGTTATCATAAAGTGTGCTGGATTTTGCATCTATTGAGATAGGTTTTTTGTTTTAAATTCTATTTATGTGCTATACCACATTTACTGACTTGCATATGTTAAACCACTTCTGCTAGGTGAGTTTCTTGAAGACAGCAAATATTTGGATTCTGTGTCCATTCTGCCATGAAACCCACTTGGTCATGACGAATTATCTTTTTGATGTGTTGTTGGATTCACTTAGCTAATATTTTGTTGAGGATTTTTGCATCTGTGTTCATCAGAAAAAATGGTCTGCAGTTTTCTTCTTTTGTCGTATCCTTTACTAATTTTCTAATTAGGGTGATACTGGTTTCATAGAATAATCTAGGGAAGATTTCTTCTCTCAATCTTTTGGGAATAGTTTCAGTAGGACTGGTATCAATTCTCTGAATGTCTGGTAGAGTTCAGTTGTGAATCCATCTGGTCCTGGGCTTTTTTTGTTGTTGCTGGCAATTTTTTACTACTGATTCAATCTCACTGCTTGTTATTGGTCTGTTCAAGCTTTTACTTCTTCCTGATTTAATCTAAGAAGGTTGTATGTTTCCAGGAATTATTCCATTTCCTCCGGCTTTTCTAGTTTGTGCACATAAAAGTGTTCATAGTAGTCTCAAATGATCTCTTGTGTTTCTGTGGTGTCGACTGCAATGTCACCAATTTCATTTCTAATTGAGCTTATTTGGGCCTTCTCTCGATTAATCTAGCTATTGGTCTATTAATTTTTTCAAAGCAACACCTTTTTGTTTCACTGATCTTCTGTACTTTTTGTGTGTTTGAATTTCATTTAGTTCTGCTCTTATCTTTGTTACTTCTTTTCTTCTTCTAGCTTTAGGTTTAGTTTGTTCTTGTTTCTACAGTTCCTTGAGGAGTGACATTAGGTTGTCAATTTGTACTCTTTCAGACTTTCTGATGTAGGCATTTAGTGATATGAGCTTTCATCAGCACTGCTTTTGCTGTATCCCAAAGGTTTTGATAACTTGTCTCATTATTACCATTCAATTCAAAGAATTTTTAAATTTCCATCTTGGTTTCACTTTAACCCAGATATCATTCAGGAGCAGAATATTTAATTTTCATGTATTTGCATAGTTTTGAGGGTTCCTTTTTGAATCGATTTCTAGTTTTATTCTACTGTGGTCTGCAAATATATCTGATGTAATTTCGATTTTTAAAAAATTTATTGACATGTGCTTTGTGGCCTATCATATGATCTATCTTGGACAATGTTCCATGTGCTGATAAGTATATTCTGGCCAGGCATGGTGGCTCACGTCTGTAATCCCAGTACTTTGGGAGGCCGAGGCAGGTGGATCACAAGGTCAGTTCAAGACCAGCCTGGCCAAGATGACAAAACCCCATCTCTAAAAAAATACAAAAATTAGCTAGGCATGGTGGCAGGCACCTGTAATCCCAGCTACTCAGGAGGCTGAGGCAGAGAACTGATTGAACCCAGCAGGGAGAAGTTGCAGTGAGGCAAAATCTTGCCACTTTTTTTCCAAAAAAAAAAAAAAAATTTGTATTCTGCAGATCTTAGGTAGAATGTTCTGTAAATATCAGTCCATTTGTTCTAGCATGTCATTTAAGACCATTGTTTCTCTGTTGACATTTAGTCTCAAAGATCTGTCTAGTGTTGTCGGTGGTATACTGAAGTCTACCACTACTATTGTTTTGCTATCTACCTCATTTCTTAGGTCTAGTAGTAATGGTTTTACAAATCTGGGAGCTCAGTGTTAGGTGCATGTAATTTTAGGCTTGTAGTATCTTGTTGAATTGATCCTTTTATCATTATGTAGTGACCCATCTTTGTCTCTACTCTTGTTGCTTTGAAGTTTGTTTTGTCTAAGAATAGCTACTCCTGTTTGATTTTAGTTTCCATTTATGTGGAATACCTTTTTCCACTTTTGAGTTTATATGACTTCTTCGGTGTTAGGTGAGTTTCTTGAAGACAGCAGATAATTGGATTCTGTATCCATTCTGCCATTCTGTATCTGTTAAGTGGAGCACTTAGGCCATTTACATTCAATGCTAACACTGAGATGAAGTATCATTCTCTTCATCATGTTGTTACCTAGTTTGTTTTTATTTTTATTTTTTCACTGTGTAATTGTTTTATAGGTTTTGAGTTTTAAGCTTTCTACTTTGGTGCATGTCAGGCTTTTGTTTCAAGATTTAGAACTCCTTTTAGCATTTCTTGCAGTGCTGGTTTGGTAGACTTTATTTCTCCTCATTTACAAAACTTAGTTTTGTGGAATAAAAAATCTTGGCTGACAGTTGTTCTGTTTAAAGAGGCTGAAGACAGAACCACAATCTCTTTTGGTTTTTAAGGTTTCTGCTGAGAAGTCTACTGTTAGTCTGACAGGTGTTCCTTTGTAGGTTATCTGATGCTTTTGTCTTACTGGCTTTAGAATTCTTTCCTTCATCAGTCAACAATAATTTACTGTACATTTAAAAATAAATAAAAGTATAACTGGAATGTCTGTTACACAAAGAAATGAGAAATGCTTAAAGTGATAGATGTCCCATTTACCCTAATG